AAAATCAGCGACACCGTAGGGCTGTCGCGCATAGAATTTTTTTTTAACACAGTAGGAACAACTAGTTATGATTTACAATTAAACACATTTAAATATCGAATTGTTAAGCTATTAACAATTCGATTAGCTACAATTGAATAGCTACAATTAAACACATTTAAATATCGAATTGTTAAGCTATTAACAATTCGATATTTAAATGTGTTTAATTGTAAATCATAACTAGTTGTTTCTACTGTGTTAAAAAAAATTCTATGCGCGACTGTGTTACAAATAGTTTTAAATTTGGGTGAAAATGCAAGAAAACTTTTTCGCCTCTGCGAAGAAGATTTGAACCTGAAGGTCCTCGAAGTGGCGAAAAATTTCGTCCATTTTACTACAGATTTTAAATTTCGTCTTAAGTGCAGAGATTAGTACTATAAAAATTTATACATATAAACGTTTCTATTGAATCACTATCTAGTAAAAAAGCCGCATAACTATCCGTTGCGTAGTTTTAAAGATCTAAGCATACATAGAGACAGACAGATAGCGGGACGACTTTGCTTTATACTATATAGTGATATTTGTTATCATTTTTGTACCGAATTTGATTACAGTCCTTTTTCTTTAGCATTCTTAGGTATGTTGATGTGTGTTAGTGTTTTACCTTATTTAGCTCAGTAACATAATATGATGCCATTGAGTAAGGAGCGTTAAAAATGTATTTCAAAGGTAAATTAGTAGGTAAAGTAGTAAATAACTGAGCAATTGCGCCGATCGAGCCAAAACCATCAAATGTTACATGTATGTATATTGCCGAGGGTCGACTGCAAAAACACGTGTGGCGGTTTTATTCCGCTCAAATTGCAAGTGTCGTATGAACATTGTTGACGTAATCAGAACTGAGCAGCTAGCGTAATGCGATGCCCTTCATAGCTCCATAGTTTCGTTTTCTGTCAGTGGTTCAATGCAATTCAGTGTCGTGGGAAATCAGTACTGGAGCGGAGGCGGATTTCTCAGGACCATCTTATGACGTCACGCGTAAAAAAAACACGTGACTATGATTTTGACCAATTGTTAATGTTAATGTTATATCGGTAACCTTTATCTTAACCTTGGACGAACACGGGAAAGGAAGCGCGAAACAATGAGTTTTGAGGGCGAACTCACGAAAACGCACGTGAGATCATCACGCCTTCAGTATACACCCACATGTTATGCAGATCGTTGGTTTCGTTCTGAGTTCATTCTTATTAACGGAATATTTCTTCCCTTGGTACCCCCTTGGTGTGATGTTCGGACATCACACGGTACAGAATAAACCGTAGTCCATCGATAAAGACCACAGTTGTTCGACCTTGGCAGTAACTCTCACCCGCTGGCGGCGACCTCTGCTGTGTATTGCGACACGCATACTTACCCCCCTTAATGCTTACAAAGCAATATTAAATCGTAAACGAAACTCTCGATATCTACCATGTAAATGTCAAGTGCTAAGTTAATTTCGACACTCGTACTATGGTAAACGCGAATTTTTATTTTTGTCATTACTTCGCGGTTTTATTACACCAATTAGTGGTACGTAAATTTTTGATTTTTATGATATAGATGTTATCGATACATACGTTATATTTGGTCGTATTATTTTGAGATCGATTTAGTAAGTTTTTCTGCACTCTGTGACTGTCATAAACCATACGTTTAAGATGTGTGTATAGTGTCTTCGTAAACTCGGCAGACTAATTAGTAATTATTATTAACAATCTTTTAAGCACAGCATTACTCGCGTACTGGATGTTGATTTATTCGATAAGTAGTAAATATTTTCACCTATGTACATACTGATGTAAAAATCACATGTAAAATAAACGTTTCAGTCGTTACGGCATCAAGAAAAAACAGACAAACTTTCGCATTTTCTGTATGCACTCTCTCCTCACTTAGTGGCATTATGTTCCTTGGTAATCTGAATTAGGTTTTTGTGTAAATTTGCATCGTCAATTTAATTTAATGGGCCTAAATTAGAGGACGACGCGATGACGTGGTTTGTGGTAGGTTAGTTAGTTAGTGTTCATTTTTAAGTTCAAGCGTACGACTCAAAGTTACAAAACACTTATTAAACGACCCATTTATAAGTTGTACAAACATTTTCAAAATAAGATTTTGTTCATTTGACGTATTATGGGTTAGGCTGTAGCTCCTAGCTTTAAGATGCTTGCTACGTGATAAGTTGTTACTGCGACGTTGCTATTGCTTTGATTATTCATATAATTTGTTGGTAGCTTCTCAAGCGCAGAGATCAGGTTGTTTTTTTTTTTTCATTGTATTGTCATTAAATCCCTCGGAAACATGGAAGGCACGTAATCGTATTAGAGTGGATAAATAATCTAACATGACTTGTTTTGACATTCGCTCTTTATTTGTGGTGGAGGGTATATTTCTGCGTTTAGTTTGTTGAGTCAGGTAACTGGGGCCCAGTTTTTTAAAAGTTGCAATGCCTCAGTAACCTCACGGGTGTTGCAGACGTTTATGGGCGACGGTTATCACTTAACATCAGGGGAATCGCCAGCCTTAAAAAAATACTTGCGTTTAACGCTTCCCTCGCCAGTTTTTGGAACGAAACGACATTCTGTTTGGAAACCGCCTGTCAAAGTATTTGGATAATGTACTTAATAAAAAATCAAATCTTTTTGATAACAATGACGTCATCTGATGAAAAAGTTCTATGGATAATTTGGTCTAAATTGTTTTCGCGTCACGCACGGGGCAAGCATGCAAACGATGTGACGTATGGCGAACAGTCGCGCGCGGCGGAGACGCCGACTAAATATAGTGCGTTCGCGAATTACGCGCGAGTGCCGGTGCCTACTCACTACTGCCTAGGCGAGAGCGGGCTCTGAGTCACGCGCACTGCGCAGATGTCGCCCCAGCGCAGCGGCCTAAAAGCCCCATCTCCGCGCACCGCTTCTGTTCGCTTCGCGCCTTTTTGTAACGACACGCGCAGAGCTGCCGACGCATGGGACTTTATAGCGATAAAGCTTCAGTCTTAGTGCTTAGGAATTCCTTTTTTAACCTGATATTTATAGTTAGACATGAATCTCATACCCTAAAAGTTTATATCTTTCGGTGAAAAAGATGGTCCGGTCCACCTTTCATCTTTTTAATTCGGTATCACTAGATACATAAAACTACTATAAATTAAACTCGTTACAATTTTTCGTTACTATGATTCCTTCATTATTTTTGTCGGTTTATTATCTGCTTTTGACTAATTTTATTATTTTGTGAACATACTGTTTGTGTCTTGGGTACCTTGTTATAATCAGACCCTTTTCATCCCTATACACAAAGTTCATTACAACAGTGCCACACGATTACGAAACTTCAAAACCGGTTGCTTATATCTCGGTTGACTCAACAATAAACCGAACACGGTCAAAGGGAAGAAATTACATAACATTAATGTTCCACATTTACATGTTTTAAGCAGAATTTTACTTTTTAAGCCTGTCAAATATATAGCCTGTATCATGGATAACGATCTTAAATCAGTGTTTCGATACGAAGTACCGACTGACTTTTCAACTTGCAGCTTTCTTTTTCCATCTGCGTTAGTTGTTTATTCACCTTGAGGTATGCACAACTCGTTTCAAGTTTAACCATTTTAAGAACTTATCGGTTTCACCACTGCTTTTCTAGAAGAACGCAGATTTCTTCGTACGTAACGTTTCTAGTGTATAAACAATAGCGTACATCGCGTGATAAGGTAAATTATTAGTAAAAAACTATAGACGTGGTAACAAATCTCTGCAATTTTAATCGCAGTACCTTCGGAGTGTTGCTTTTATTTAAATGTATTCGCACGCAATTAGTTACATTGATGATATTTAAATTTAAAAACCAAAACAAGTTTAACGAGGCTAAAAGCTTTTTTATTTTTATCTTAAATGCATTGATGACCTCTGCTTACGGTAGAATCGAGAACGAGAGTCAACGCAATTAAGTACGTGATTTGAATATACTTGATGTTTTCATTTTATATGTATAAGTTAATTTGTTTCGGCTATTTGACGACTATTATATTGATATCTACTTAGCATTAATAATGTTCCTCGTTCTTTTACAAAAATAATCCAAGGTTAATTATCGCTTTGATCTTCAAATGTCTTTTTGCCGACTGCGCCGAAGGACTTTAATGTTCATTCGAATAAATATTTGTCTAGTTCTCTGCCACGTAGAGCCTAAACCTTTTGACGGATTCCAACATATGTGGTGTCAATAAATTCGTCTCAGTTGTGGGACCAAAGGTACATTATTTCTAATCCAACCGGGATTTTTGAAGTGGAAACTTCTTTGGGTGTGTTCAGTACTTTTTGGGTGAACAAAAATCATGGAACAAGCGTCATCGTCACCGAACGCTTTCCATGAGCTATATTTAAAAAAAGGATTGGCAAAATTAAATATTTATAGTTATGGATATGATATAAATACTGTTATTATTGTTCGGAGTGCCTATAAAATATATAAATTAAATATTATACAATTTTAATTTTGCCATTGTTTTAGGCGCCGTGATAGCTCAATGTCCTTGGTTTTTAACGCCTTTAATTCACTTCACTCGCCTTTAATTCAATTTACTCGAGCAACCCGAGTTCGATCTCCAACCAATGAAAATGTTAATTTTAAGTGCTGACTTATCATGTGTTCGGCTCTTTTCACGGCGGTGAAAGAAGACTTCCTTAGGAAACTTACATATTTTTCAAATAATACAAAAAAAAATATTTCAAAAATATGTGAAGTCCCCCAAACCGCAGTGGGGCCGCGTGGTGCCTATGCCCTGAAACCCTCTGTGCAGAGGCCTTTGCCCAGCAGTGAGATATTTATGGGCTGTTACTTTACTTTCTTTTTTATATTGTTTTATGTTTGCGCTTTAATTGGCAGTCCCCATGATACTGCCTATTTTTTATTTATTTAATTTAGTGTAAGTGGTGATGTGTAATCGTAAATGTGCGTGGCAGGTGCGACCCCTGGTGGCGTCCGTGCTGGACGGGTTCAACGGGTGTGTGTTCGCGTACGGGCAGACGGGCACCGGCAAGACGCACACGATGGAGGGCACGGCCGAGGACGAGGGCGTGATCCCGCGCGCCTTCCACCACCTCTGGGCGCACATCGAGAACACCGCCTCGCCGGACGTCACGCACCTCGTCTCCTGCTCCTACGTGGAGCTCTACCTGGAGGACGTCAGGGACCTCCTCTCGAAGGACTGCAAGAAGCTCACCATCAGAGGACAGGTGAGGCAGTTGCACTGGCGGTTGTGGTCATTGGATCTAATCTTATACCGCAGGCACAAACTATTGTTGTTTTACTACAGTCTATATAATTTGATAATAATGTTTAACACCATTTTTGATTGAGTACACACTGCAAGTGGACTCCATAATCATGTCAATGATAGCACGGGCAGATTAAAATCTGTTCATTTTTGGATATTATATTGGCCATCATATATTTCTGTAAAATATGTAAAGGACGAAACACAGTAAATAAAATATAGCACCTGGAGGACCGAATCATGTATTTTGGAAATAAAAAAAAAAAAAAAAATAAAGAAAATGACCTGGTATAGAAAAAAAAGTAAAAAAAAGAAGTGTGTAAATGATCGTGATACGAACCGCGGCCGTCTGTCTTGGGGCCGCCCGATTACCGACCGAGCTATTATAACACTTTTTTTGCGGCGAAATTTACTGTCATGTTTGAATGATATTTTTCATTCCCTAAAAACAGGGATAAAAGGACATTTTCTAAAAATGAAACCTAGCTAAATCGATTTTTCGCCCCCGAATCTGCGCACATACTAAATTTCATGAAAATCGCTGGAGCCGTTTCCGAGATTCCCCATATATATACAGCGTGTACCACCGCGACAATAAATGAACACACATATAGAGGATAACTTTTTAAAATTGTATTAAACATTTACATTCTTTAAACATCAATATTTACCGAGTTATAAAATTTTCCAAAACAAACAATTTTAGAACACCCTTACGTATAAAAGTGTAACGTAAAGTTCATTTGTAAAGGTCAGAAAGCATATGAATGGGTTGAATGAATTTAAAAGAGACAAAACATACTGTTAGAAGAAGAGGCTTGTAATGCGACGCTGTGGCGCGAGTTGTATAGGATTTTACAAAATTTGCTTTTTTTTTACTTAATTAGTTTGTTTGAAAAATATTTTTTTTTAATTATGGATTTTGTTTAACGTTAATATTTTTATATGATTATTGGCAAGTAGCGTTAGACGTGTGTTCATTTATTGTCGCGATGGTAACGACACGCTGTATATAATAAAGGATAAGATCTGGCTTTTAAACAAAAACTGTTTTTCATGGAAAATAAATCACATATCGCGGTACGCTTTGTAAATATGTAATGTCACAGACGCAATGTATATCCGGACTACTTATTTTCAACACTAATTATTGTCCCACGTGGGAATCGAACCCACTAACGCAACAGCACTTGGCTATGTGACCATCAACTATAGCGCCATCCATGCTTTGACACTTTGGTAAATTGTTTTAAATCATCAAATACGACAGAAGTCTACCGCAATGCAGTCTGAGCCATAGTCGCACATCTCCCAACAGAATCGTATATCTGTTCGGTCTTATTATGATAAGTTCAATGGCTTCAGTTGAATCATTTGCGGGCTAATATTTACGATAGATAATTATACGTCGCCGCAAAAACACTGCGTTTAATGTGACACGGCAAAACACGGCCGAGTCAGCAGATAACCGCCTCTTCCGCCTCGCTTGTCAACATTGGCGCAACGCTCTCTCGTGGGTCTATTTGCACTATTGTGTACTACGGCGTTACTTGGCCGAGAAAGGCCCACGCGCCTCCGTAACATCTCCGAGCGAAGTGTTAACATTCGGAGACACTGCGATATTTGCTCATGAATCGTCTGTAGGTAATGTATGCACATAACTTTTGCGTTAGCGTAATTCGGAGATGTATGCGATTATGTAACTAATTTTGTCATGTTTGTTTTAAATTAAAACTTTAGACTGTTCGCTTAGGATGTGCTTTGATGAGATTTCTAAACGTGACGGTGTTTGTAATTTGACCTTGACCTTGACCTACAGATATGCAGCTATGGGTAAAAATTAAGAATACCGACTTCATTCAGGAATGTTATCAGACGAATTTTTCTTCTAGCGCCCTTTGATCTAAAGACAAATGCTAGAATCTCTTTTTTACTATTAACGGAACAGTGTTACATAAATACAATGTAAATAATAAATGCAAAAATCAAAAGGATAATTATGTAAGCATTTTTGAAGAATCGATTCGCCTTTGACTTCTGTGACTTTGAAAATGCAAATGACTGCTAAATAATTATTAATCTAAAAAGTACATACTGGTTCCTAGTCACATTTGTAAAAAAACATGTTGCCTCATTACTGTGTATATGCATTCGAGGTAAGTAATTATTATACGTATAGTTTATGTAAATTATCTTATTACTATAATATGACTTGAAACTGTTTTATTAACTTTTTCGCGATACATTTGAATTTAAATTAAAAAGGAGAAATGTAGCTTGTATACGGAAATGTTAGAAATAATTTTTAGCACTTTTATAGGGTAATTAATAAATGAGTTTATTACAAGAAAAAAAAAAACCTTTAGTACCAAAGAACAAAACTGACTTTAAATATCTCACTCACTAAACATTTTCTATTTGATTTTGAGGAAATCCCTGATTCCTCTCTGGAATCCAAGAGCACCTTGGACTTCAGGGTGCGTCAGAGAAATATTCATGAAACTTATACGGTGATCCCGTATTAAATTCATTGGTAATACCTTGGGAGCTAAGCCGAACCCGATGCCAAAAAGAAATGTTGAAATCGGTTCATAAATGGCGGAATTCTGTGGTAAGAAACAATTCAACCGAAGAACATCGTTCTATTTTGAAGTCGGTTGTAAAATTCTGAAATAGAATTCCGTTAAAGTAAGTGTGATCCATTCAATCATACATTTCGTTAAGGAGTATTAAAAAAAAGTTGGTACAAATGTGGTAATTTATCATTAATAAACGAAATGATAATAATTATCATATCACGATTACACGTTAATGCTCCGACATCAAATTTCAAGGTGCTACCTTCATTCTCTTTATTGATTCATAAAAGTTGTATTCAAAATTAGAATTGACAGTCACTATTGCCCCATCACATCTGACAGCAAGATTTATACTTATTTTTTTGTAATGTTGTTGCCTGGAATTTCATGGAATAATTTTATTTCAGCTATTCTCTATATTTGATTACCAAAAATCAGCATAAAAAAGCTAAATCTGAAACTCACCCTCGGTTAATTAGACCCTAACAAGTATATGCGCACTTTGTTGCGAAAGGAATATTGTTTTATGTGCTCATTACGACCACGAGAACTCGTAAAGATGCCGCTATGGTGACGTCAGTATAAAAGCAATAACTGTAAAGGCTCAAGGGCGGAAAAGTGACATCACAGCCTGTGAAAAATCACCAAGTTGTCACTTTGGAACACTCTTCATAATATTATGAAAACGCAATGTACCAAAAAAGAACTCGACGTCAATACGTTTCTTTAAATTTGTTAGGGTTCTTTTCATTCGTCGCAAATATTATCAAGAAGCCTAGTCACACACCGTTACGTTAGGTGCATAATAAGGTACCTTATAGCTGTGGGAGATTTGGGACTTCTAAGAAATACAATAAGTAGTGTTCTTATTTTATTTCATTTCTCACTGTAGGTTTTCACACAAAAAACCGTGAGGTTCATTGAAACGAGCGAATCGAACCTATGACCCGCGAGGCTAAAACCCCCAACTTGGCCTCTGTAACAACCGAGCAATCCAGCAATTCATTGCAGACGAAATTAAAATTACATTATTATTTTCAAATCTTACCAGGATACTTTATTATCTCATTATAATTATTTTCAGGGATGTTTCAATTGTTTTTATGTTATCTACGCATTCATAATACATACATCGATAGGGCGCTGATAACCGGCGATAGGGCATTTGCAAAGAACACGTTGCAAGAACTTTATCTTTAAACTAATTCATAACGATTACTTATAAGTGCCATACGGTACACAACAGTTAATTTTACTAATTGATGACGAACAACACCTGATCAAAAGCTATTGAAACTGAGCCTTCAGCACTTTTTTGGCTTCTGTATAGGATCCCAGAAATTACGTACGCGAGTGGTTGACTCATCAGCTGCTGAACTTTACATCTGTTGTTTTGAATATCGTTTAATATCTTTCGAAGAAAATAAATATACCAGAATTCGATAATTTAATATGTAAATTGACTATCGAGAATTACAAGCGAAATAGCGTAAAATGAAAACTAACTTTCTACAATGTTTGCTGATGCATTGTTTCTTTTGTTTATAAGTATAGAACAAATGTTTTTATCACATTACTATTTCAATTCGCACTTTCTTCGTATATTGCGCATAAAGTCGTTGCATCATTTATTTACCCATTAAGAACAATGAATTCGATTTCCTTTTCCTTTTCGGTTTTACACAAATTCGCGGAAAAAAATCGAATCCTAAACAAAACAGCAGCTTTTCTTATTAACTGGCGCAATTAGCGCGTTCTTGGCTGTAAAGAAACTGTATTTCGTTAGGCAATGGAAAATAAATAATTTCGGTGCCCGTAAATTCGATAAATTCGCAACACTCAACAACATTAATGACACTACGATCGCGCAGTCATTAAATTTATTTAATTTATTTCTTTCAAAGATATGACGACTGTCATAAAAATTGATTAAGTTTAACCGAACTTTTCATGAAAGTTACCAAGCAAGAATCTGCACTGATTTGATTTAAAACGTCGTCAATATAATTCAATTTAATCTGAACCGATAAATCGAGTTACTTGGCATGCATCGTGCGAATACTGAAAAAAAAAAAAGTAAAAGTTTTCCCTTCGGGTTCGTAGTTTTTATATGTAATTTCGCTCACTTTCAGTCTGTTACAATGCACAAACTTTCACAAAATTGAAATTAAGTAAGCATCGTAAAAGAGCAAATATTCTATCATTATCCTGTACGTATTTTTTGTCATTATGATTATAATGAAAAACCCAAACGAAATATTGATTTGTAAAAGATTTAAATCTCTGCCAATCTAAATATAGATTTCTAGTGTACTCAATCACATTAGAGAGAAGCATCCGTAAATAGCAAGATCCTTATAGATATTGACCTGTTGGTTCTTCGTTAAAATTAAACACAGTTTACGATTAAATTTAGCGCGGCAACGTTAAATCACCTCCAAGCGGTACATTAGCGAGGTCGCTCCAGGCGGAAGGTGAGTATGCGCCAGTTGACTAATGATTTAACAAGTAAACACGGGAAGCAAACATTTGCTAGCATCTGGCAGTGTCCACTGCAGTCCCCACCCGCAGTTGCCAATTAGCGCAGCGGTGCGAGGTACGCACCTTGCGCGTTTCAGCAAGCTGAGTACGAGCCGGAACGGTTTCAGTGATTGAATTCAAATATTGCTATTGCACTATTGCGCTACAAAAGGCTGCATTATTAACCTCTTATTCGTGACTGTATAGCTGTTGCTTTAATTGTTAAGCTCGTACACACTTATTTACACACGTATATAGTAAAAACTTATCAATCTATCAATCTTTAACTTTTTTTATCAATTTGCCTTTGCATTATAATTTCACAGAAACATCAGCTGACTGGGCCGGCTGTTTAGTTCATCGAATCGGATTTCTTTTAAAAGGATTAAATTCATTTTCTGATGTAATAAACTCACTCGTCATTAGTCTGCGAATTGATAGCGTTTGCTGGAAACTTTGCGAGCAAGGCACGCGAGAATAAAGGCACATGTGCAAAGGGCCCTCTGACGCAAATCGCGTACACTTGGCCTAGAGAAAGCCGCGGTTATTGTTGCGATGAACACATGTTCTCCGCCTTCACGAGAGCGGACGACGCGTGTGGCGATGAACACTAATTGTGCTAAATTAATTGCACTGCTCACTTTTCCTTTATTGCATTTAACATGAGTAGGGTTACCACTTGCAGTGATATTTTCGGTGCAATCAAGTTGTTTTATTAATAAGTAACATTTCACTTGTTAATAAAACAGTTTCGGTCCGCAATAAAAGATACCTACATGAAGCAAATTAAACAAGTGTATTTTCTCAATGTTTGTCAAGCTTAAGAATTAATTTTCGAGAGAAGTTATTAGAATGTCAATTAAGTATATTATGCTTCAAAAGATATCTCGTTCCTTCAAATTTCTATTATTTATCTAATACCTTTAAACGAGCAATTCTTGTATATATACATTATACACGATTTATCAAAAAAAAACCGAGCAAAGCTCTGGTCCTCCAGGTACTGAAAGATATAAAAGCTTCAATGCTAATCACAAATTATTTGTCTATAAATTAATTAATACAGCCTTTTAGGCTATGTGGGCCCAGTAACTGGTTCTGGTCGTGCTGTCCCGAATTCCCCCATCCCTACCACACATTAGCTTGGGCTACTTCGGACTCGTCCGACCATGTTGATCGATCACACGTCGGACCCCTACGCCGTTGTCAACCTTAACCATGCAGAGGTAGAGTCCAGTTTCATTTATGTCGGCAAATTCAATAACAATTTAGGCATTAATGCATGTAACCTTGTGCAAATGTACGTCTGTACAAACGCGGCCTAAATTATACGTTAGTGATGTCTTGTGCTAGAATGGGATTTCTGATGTTTTTGTTAAAGGTTCTTAATAGTAATTTTTTCAATTGTATGAACAATAAAAAGAAAATTATGGTGTCTTAGAAATATTGGGCTTACGTTTTGTCTATTTTACTACTTTGTTGACGATATACACAAAAAACTAAGAACAAAGAAATTTAAATTACTTAAAAAAAGGCTTCGATAAAAAATATTAATCTGTTTTTTAAATAACGATGTCATAATAATTACACCAACATGATTTTGTATTTACATACAAATTAGCAAATACGTCTGTACATAGATTAATTATATAATTGTGAAAGGGGTGAGTATTGAGATGACGGCTGATAGAAGAAAGTGGAAGGAAAAGACATGTTGCGCCGACCTCACCTAGTGTGGGATAAAGGCAGGAGAAAGAATAAGTCTGTATATCGATTAATTGCTTTCACGAATCGAAATTCGCGAACATCACTAAACTAAACATACCCACATGCGATTGTGCAAACAGTATTGTTACTCACGTAACGTATAATTATCATACTCTCGCCTTACGTAATATTACATAAAAAAGAGCTTTGTTTCTGATAAATGCCGTTGCGTCGAATCGCGTTTAAGATCAAGGCTGCAATTAGCCATTGATTTGGCGCGTGCGAACGCCGCGCTGTCGTGTACTGGCGGTGTTATGCGGTCGTCGCCATGGCAACGCTCCGTACACGACTCCACACAAGTTATTCACTCAGACGTTTAGGGTGACAAAAGATTTACATGTTTGTTATACTATTTCATCGCTTTCCATTTTTAAAATAACGCTGCAATTTATCGAATCAAAGCTGGAAGTATTTATAAGTATTGCTATCCCTTGGGATATAATTTAAGTTTCCTGAGCACCACGACATAATTATAAATATGTATTTAAATTCTTATTCATTTAGTTTGTGATTGCTGAATGGTCCAAACCGAAATAATTACGTCCTAAAATGTATTAATTGATGTGTGTGATCTTATATTATTCAATCAAAGTTTGTGTTATATTTCAAGTTATAAAAATTCATTGAACCTAAAAATACCATTTCCATTCAAATAGTTCAATGAGTATCATTTTTATTAAATTAATAATAACGACGACTTCAAATAACAATCTACTCGAGTAAAACTAATTAAATTTCAGTTAAATGTAATTAAATATAATTGCATAAGGCGGATGATTGCCAACGTGCGAATGTTATTGCATTTGGTGTGTGTTACCGTTTGAAGCTTCGTGTAGATTTAAGTGACGATTTGAATTTAAGCCTCTCTCGTTCTTGTTATATTGAAAGCTATGGCGTGAATGCCTGTACGGTTTTATAACATACATTAATTCATAAAATTAGTAATTGATGTTTAGTGGCACAACTTTATCGAAGCTTTCTCCAATGGAGGACATTCAAGATCAAGTCGATAAACTTTGAAAGTATTCTGATACTTATTACTAAGTTTTAAGAAATATATATTAAAAGTACGAAAATATAGTTAAGTGATGAATAATGAAGTTTAAATAAAGTTTTTAGAATTTTTAAACAAGAGCTCAGTTATGAACACTTACACGCTTAAATAACGAGATAGCATCACCATTGTCCTTGTCTGGTCGCCTAGCTTAGCAGGCCGCTATCATGCATGCATCTCATATTGAAAGGATGTTTCGTACAAAACGGGACCGATTGTCTACTCGGTTGTTTTGAGTCCTTACGCGGTTGCAGTTAAAAACGCTCGTTTAATTGATTTTCTACCCTTATTTACGGCAATGGAATACAAATCATTTAGATTTTTATGCTTTTAAATGTCAACGTCCAAATCGAATTGTTGAAAGCTCTTCCTAGATTGAAGCGGTTCCTAGATTTCTTGCATCTAGAAAGAAAAGAACCGAGTAGACAATCAGTCCCGTTTTGTATGAAACATTCGTTACTTAAGACAATGATCGATTACCGTCAAAAATAGTTTAGTTTATAGTTTGTTTTTTAAAAACAGTGCCGTCTCTTTAGGATAACATTATCCTGTGTTGTAAGGACGCTGTACAAACATAAATTCATAATGGACAAAGACCGAGATTCGAAACAACTATCTGTGGGTCGCACAAATACTTGTCCAGTGTGGGAATCGAACCCACGGCTCCCGACGCCGTAGCCAATACCTTGATAATTGCGCCACGGAGGAATCAAACAATCTGCAATGAGAACGGCTCGCTTCAGGAGCTGAACGGCTTCTACATCCCCGAGATGACGTCGGTGGTGTGCAAGTCGGCCGGCGACATGGTGCGCGCGATGCGCACCGGCAACAGGCACCGCGCCGCCGCGCGCACCGACATGAACGAGCACTCCTCCAGGAGCCACGCCGTCTTCCTCGTCACCGTGGAGACGGCGCACCGCGCCACCAAACGCATCCGGTGAGTGCTAACCCGAAACTGTTTCATTCCCAAATAGTCATTTATACAAATTTTGTACAGATCTGACGGTGAGTGATAGACAACAAAACTTCAAAAAATGACAGAAAATCAAGCGCAATTGCTATAGCAGCATAAATATGCATTGTTTTGCGCAATCTCATCGTATTTACCTAATTAACACGTTGTTTTCGCGTTCTAAGCTATCACGTGTGCATTGTAAGCGTCTACTTATCGGACCCACCCTATATCAAGGGTATTTATGAATATGAACAAAATTTTCCACAATGAGCAATATGGATTCACTAAAGGCAGATCGACAACGGATGCGGGTGTCGCTCTTGTCAAGCATATTTATAACGCCTGGGAAAGGTCACAAGATGCAATAGGTGTTTTGCGACCTTTCAAAGGCTTTCGACTGTGTAGACCACGAAACCCTCCTTCAAAAGTTAGATTATTATGGCATTCGTGACATCGCCCTCAATCTCATTGCCTCTTACCTTAATAATAGAATTCAAAAAGTATCTATAAATGATGTAAATTCCACAGGGTCCCCCATGAAAATGGGTGTCCCACAAGGATCAATCTTGGGTCCATTATTATTCTTAGTGTATATAAATGATCTCCCCTTTTATGCCAGTGAGTTATGTGATATTGTACTGTTTGCTGACGACACATCGCTCATTTTTAAGGTTGACCGAAACGTGTCGGATTATGACGACGTGAATAGTGCACTTTCGCGTATCCTCCACTGGTTTTACCGTTAATAATATGGTGTTAAATGCTAAAAAAACTAAATGCCTTCTTTTTACCCTTCCCAGCGTAAGAAGGCGAAGTTTTAGCTTAACATTAAATAGCGTAACCCTTAATCCTGTTGAGTCCGCTGTATTCTGGGAATTACAGTGGATTCAAAGCTCCAATGGAGTCCCCATCTATCATCTCTTGCGAATAGGTTAAGCTCCGCTGTTTTTGCAGTTAGGAAGGTTAGGCAGCTATCAGACATCGACACTGCCAGACTTGTTTATTTCAGTTATTTCCACAGCATCTTGTCTTACGGCATTTTGTTGTGGGGTAGTGCATCTGATATAAATTCTATATTTATTCTTCAAAAAAGAGCTGTCCGAGCAATCTATAACATCGGAGCCCGGAATACACTCAGAGACCTTTTTAAAGAGATTAATATACTCACTGTTGCGTCTCAATATATTTATTGTAACATTTTGTATGTTAAAAATAATATTAATAGTTATCTAAAGAATAGTGACAGACATAAACTAAATACTAGAAATAAGGACAAACTAACTACGCCATTGTTTCGTTTACAAAAAGTAAACAGGTCGTTCATGGGGCAAGGTGTGCGCATGTATAATAAAATCCCACAGTCGATATTAAGTCTGCCACTTGATGAATTTAAACGAAAAATTAAAAGTAAACTTATGGCTAAAGCCTATTCTATTGCTGAATATCTTGACGACGCCAATGTGTGGGGTTAATACTGTTGATACTCACGTAGGCTAAAACAAGACTATTGTACATGTACTATTATATTGTAAACTGATTTTTTTTTTAAAAAGAGCAACTGTTGAGTTTCTTGCCGGTTTCTTCTCAACAGAAACTGCTTTCCGAACCGGTGGTAACTTACGAACGTGTTCATTTCTTGTAAAATTTTGACGTTTCATAAGAACGCGCAAGCGTCTATGTGAATAAAGATATTTTTATTTTTATTTTATTTTATTTAAGGGGAACATACAAACTGACAGTGGTATAAAATCGAACAACGATATTCCTTGTCAACTCGTACTCCAAAAAAATTTTAATTTTCTTAGGGGTTAGATAAGTAAGGTTATACAGGTTAGATTTTGACTATGTTATTACATTAGATTTAGTAGTATTTTAAACTTTTGGTACTAACAGAATTTGTTGAATTCGGTTTTTTTTTCTTAAAAGCTTTTTTTAACATGTGGTCTTAATGAGTCGTTGAGTGCCATCTTATAACGCCATCATTATCACTTGAATAACTCGAATGTATTAAAGATAATAATTTTAACAAAAAAATATCTTTTTCGAAAAAAACTTGAACACAGATATTAGGTTGTACTATTGTCTATAGCAAAATTAACTTATCAATTAACTATGAAGAATATGACGTTATTATTGTCATTATACTTTATAACACAGTGTGTTGATCGATACCATGTTCATATAAAATGTCATCATTCATAAAATACGTACTAACTCATAAGACTTTGAATTTAGATGAGATGCTGAAAAAGTAATAGGAAATTTATACATTTAAATGGCAGATTTTCGACAAAACGAGAACAGCCTTCCCTCGGGGTAATTTATACGTAGGTATTCGGTTTACCCCTGTCTAGACGCTAAATTATGTTTCTAAGCGTTTATCGCCAGGATAATACACGAGAGGTCGGACTCTATTTGATATTCCAACTTAAGCAATATTTTAAATTATTAATGTTTTCTAAACATTGCCTGTCTGGGATGCGTTTTAATATGTCGAATAGGGTTTTTAAATTTTATGTACAATTATATTGTTCAGAGTACGACGCTCATTGTACGAGCCGTGTGCATAAATTAATATATTCTTCGTACTATTATAATATAATAATAATAGTACGAAGTCAGGTGAAATTCAAGCTATTTATAAGTTCCCGTAGCTGACTTACGAGTATCTTCTGCGTAATTAAAATCTTAGCCAACGGAAGAATTGTTTAGAAATAAAAAGTTATTTGCTTAATTTTAATAAAACAAAACAAAATCAATGGCACCATCTTTTGTGTTAAGATACCTAAAACTTCAATCTTTACTGAAGGCTGAATAAGCAATTAGGCACTAGCTAATTTCGGCTGCCGATCTGAGTCAGCTATCGTTTCAGGTGTTCTGGAAACAAAGCCGTCTTTCTTGTCCAGTGTAGATGGCTTCACTGCCACCATCGCCGTGGACATTGATCTCAGTGTTTTCTATTAGGAAAGATGATTAATCTCTTTGGCTTCCATAGCTTATTAATAATTGACATTGTATCTTTTTATAATAATGTAGGGAGGTCGAATCACGATTCCAACTGTTCAGCAACTACGAATGGCACAGTTGCGAATGGTTTACAATATGTGTATCGAGGTTACTGACTGCGCGGCTCGTACTAACACATGTCAATGCTTAAATGAGCAACATTAAGCATCTTCAGCCGCCACGCGATTCATTCGTTGTGCTCTTTGTCACTGTAACGTTTGTATATGTTCGTATTTCGCACTGCAGTCGGTACTATCCTTTCTTCTTTTGTGTCATTATTCGCGGCAAAGCCATTCATATAGCCTTTTGGATGTTTTGTTTCAAGAGTTGCGACGGCATTACGCCTAGCTCTGGGCTTAAAGCCCGGATAGATATTACAGACGGAATATGGTGGCGGTGCTAATCTAAGAACTGATCTCGAAATTAATTTTAATTTTTAACGCGTACGGCAATAATCTATGGGTTAGTTATTGGAAGGCTCTTCTAAAGAAACATAGACGGTACAATTTGAACCAAAATGGTATTAGGATTAATCTTATTAACCTCTTGTATAAAGCGGCATAGCGATTACTCATTTGGCGCTCATTACTCATTTGATGTTACAACTGCGATCCGTGTACTTAGCAATGTTTGAAGAACGGCACGCTTTTCACTCTTTTTAAACGGACGTTTTTAATTATTTGATATACGTGACGAACGGAGTATGAATCGTAGCGCTAGATTGCTTTCAAGGAAATACTGAGTAACGCGCCGCTTATACGAGTCGAGTGATTAGGCTAATGGAGTGCGTTCGTCACAGTGGGCCAACGGCGTGGGCTCCGGCCCGGCGCGGCGCTCACGTACCCTGGACGCCCGACCTCCAGACGCCACTGGTTCACGGTCCACGCACACATTAACGCGATTATCCACTTTGCACCGTTGTAGGGGTTGCCTCTCGCCCGTAAACGTTTTAGCTATGTGCTATATTATCAGGCCATTGTTGTTTCGACCTTTAAACGCTTCTACGCTAGAGATTGAGTTGACTGAAGTTGAGTCAATTGTATAATGTAATAATTCGCATTAATTTATAAGTCTAACCTTGTGATCAGGTGGTAGATTTTCACGGTCACATCTGGTAGTAACGAGCTAAAATTGTTCAAAACATTTTGATTCTGCCCTCATGTAACATTTAAAGAGTCCCTTGGTGAATTAAATACCTATAGTCAAAAACCTTTGCACACAAACGCTTAAACCATATGACTTTTTTTATTTTATTACATGAATTACAAAGTGATTTGCAATGGTGATGTGTTAATGAAATTGCCTTTATGTAATCGATACATGAAACGATTAGAGAGATATAACAATAACACCTTTGTTATAATCACCAACGATAATAATCTATCGAAATAAACATTCAGCTGTTGGATGGTGACATAATATGTCACCTTTCAACAGCTTTGAATATATAGTTCTAAATCTGAAAATACCGTTCAGGTGTTTAACAAGATTTGCCGCAACGCTAATAGCATTTCTTAAAGAAGCTTCTTACGAGTTGGTTATAAGTACACCATTTTGTTTTAATAGTGTTTCCAGCTCTGTTATATAATACGTAACGTTGACCTCCATACATACATTAGACTACTGAAATCGTCATCAAATGGAACACAGAACCACATAGTTTATGCTTAAATTTGAAATATGATGTCACAGTTCATAGAAGGTCGTAAACAATATGACCTTCATACATAAATCTACATAATCAGTACCCTTTTTTTAATATATTTGTTATTTGTACTGCGTATGCTTACTAATATTACCAGTGTAAATACACTGGTTTCGATTCCCTATTGTTATAACATTCTAATGATAGCATTCGCAGAACAGAGCCGTAATTGCTCATTGTCCGGGTGCTCACTTTTAATTTATTATACTCGAGCAACCTAAGTTAAAATCCCGGTGCAAGCACCAATGAAATTGTTTGTTTTGAGTTTTAA